CGCCGGCTCGCCCGTCCGCGAGGCCCTAGCGCCTCCCGACACGCAGCCAGGCCGCTGCCCTCCTGGGAGCGAGAGCGGGCCTGGCGGCCTGAGGCCCCGTTTGTCCCGCGAGCCCGCCCTGAACCTAGACTTTCTCCCTCCCGCCCCTCTTCTCCGGGCCGGGACTCTTCCTCTCCACACCCCGTCTCGGACCTCAGAGTCAACCACCATCACTTTCCACAAAACCCTCCCTGGCTCAAGCTCATCCAGCCCGCGCCCCCGTGTTCTGGGTCTTTCATTGCCCTGCGGGTTTGGCCGGAGATACCTGGTGCTGCCTGTTTGGGATTGTGATTGAACTTCGTTCACCGTCCTGGGGTCGCTGAGACTCAGCTTCGCTTGGCTCCCGACCTGATGGGCTAGTCTAGAAGGCGGCTCTCCCTCCCACAGACCTAGGAGTCTCAGACCCTCCTCTGACGCCGGTGACCTCACGCAGCGGGGGGTGCTTGTCACTCAGCCAAGGAGGGGTCAAAGGCCAAGGCAACAGGCTAGATCTGGCCTCTTATGTGTGTGCGCGTGTGCGTGTGGGGTGGGGGCACGCGTGTGTGTTTGGGAGGCAGTGGGAATGAGGGAAATGGGAAGAGAAAAAGCAGGGAACCTACCAGGGTGTGGAAAGAGCACTGCACTGTGAGTCAGGAGAGCCTCATTCTAGACAGCTCTATTTGACTTTGAACACAGCCTCTAATATCCTGGAGTATCTCTAGTCTCTGGGGTCAGAATGGGGCTCTGCCTGCCCCCTAGTTTATGAATGTCAGCTGTGGCATTTGAATGAGTGAGTGAGAGAGGGGCACTCAGTTTCCATAGGCAGAGGGCTGGGGGCTTTGCGGGTAGTGTCTGACCTTGACAACTGGGGATGGAAATGAAAGTTTGACCGAGGGTCTTAGATGCGCTGTAATGCAAGCTGGGAATGGGGCTGGGATCCGAGGGCAAAGGGAAGTGTGGTCCAGTGTGTCTGCTCCCTCAGTTTCTCCACAAAGTGGCCGTACCTGCCACTTAATAGACCCTTTGCTGCTGAGGAGCAGGCTGCCTGGGTTGGGGGATCCATGGGCAGGAGTCCTGTTCCTCATCTTTTACTGTGTCACCTAAGAAGGTCGCCATCTGCCGCCTTCCTTCTGTGCTCTTGGCCTCGTTGGTGTGTGTGGCACCTTTTCCAGCACTGTGGCCTTTCATCCAGTCTCCCACCTCTCTTTGCGGGGAAGCGCCTTCTCTTCCTGGCCCCCAGTGGCAGACACTGGGCCCAGACACTGGCTTCTTCACTTTCCCTCTCTGGCTCCACCAGTCTCTCCAGGCCGCAGGCTCTGGTTCCTTCAACTTCCAAAGATAAATAAATAGTGATTGCAAATGGAGTAAGAGAGAAGGGGCACCGACTCCCCAGCAGGAGCCCTCCGCGGGGCGGCAGGCAGGCTGAGACCGCATTCCTTTGGAAGGGTCGAGATAGAGCCACGGCCACAGGCACGGTCTGCCATTCAACTCTCCTGCTCCCAGGCAAGGAAAACTTCTCAGAGAGGAGGAGGAGAGGGCTCTGGCCTGGGTCACACGGCTTCTTTTGTCAATTCCTTTTGCTAAACGAAGACAGTCAGAAGTCTGGACGGGAGTTGCGCTGTGACATGAACTCTCTGAGGCTGTACAGAGGCCACATGACATTTAATGAGGCAGAGCTTCCCCACAGGTGGGACCGAGGTGCCTCACGGGGACATTTATAAAAAGCTGTCCTGTCCTGCTTGGCATCACGTTTGACTTCCATACCTGCCCAGAGGAGGTGAATGGGGGCAGGAGTCACTTTCCCATTTTACAAGTGTGGATGAGGAAACTGAGTCACGAGCAGTAAACGGCCAGGCCTGGGAAGTTACCCTCTGACTGCTTTTCAGGTGCTCTTTCCTCTGAACCGCTCAAAGCTTTTCCCACACGATGCTTCCTGGTTTAGCTGTTCTCAGAAGTGCAGGGTGGGATGAATGAGTGGCCTACATGAAAATCTTTTTGTTTCAAAGTTTGTTTGGGACAGAAGGAGAACTCATACTTAGTCCCAATCTCCAGAAGTCTGGCTAGGGAGTTTGGCCAATTCAATACACCCGGATGGTGTGATGAACTCTTTAATGGGATAGGGATAAGGTACCATGATAATAGAGAGGAGGCTGAATTGATCCTACCGAAGCAAGAGAGAGAGGGAGCTTACCAAAAGTTTTAGTCCCATTTAGGGGAGACGTGTAACCCACCTGACTCTACTAAACCATAATTATTCCCTAAGGGTCTGGGGCTCACATCTCCTCTGTCACTCTCAAAAGAAGTTTGCCTTTGCTAGGTTCTAGCTGCTAGCCAACCTCTCTGTGCCCCCAGCTTCGATGCTGATCCAGTCCTCCTTGTCAAGGGGTAGCTGGAGCCTCTTGACATGGGTCACCTCACGGGAGACCAGCCCCTCCATTTGGAGCAGCAGTGAGTGGAAGATGGGGTGACGGTCAGTGTCCCCTCCATCAGAGACTGGAGCAGACCAGAGCCACCACGGGGGGACCTGCACAGAAGGACACCTAACATCTCCTGAGTGCTTATTATGTGCCAGGCACTTGTTGACTACATTAAAAAATTTTTTTTTAATGTTTATTTATTTTTTTTTGAGAGAGAGAGACAAACAAAGTGTGAGCAGGGGGAGGGCGGGGGGGGGGGGGGGGGGGGGGGGGGGGGACACAGAATCCAAAGTAGGCTCCAGTCTCTGAGCTGTCAGCACAAAGCCCAATGTGGGGCTTGAACTCACAAGCTGTGAGATCGTGACCTGAGCCGCAGTCAGACACTTAACTGACTGAGCCACCCAGGTGCCCTGCTTGTTGACTACATTTTACAAGAATTAGCTCCTTTGGGCCTCCCAACACGGTAAGGATGTTTTAGCAGAGAACTGAGGCATGAAGAGGCACCTTAATAGTCCAAAGGATACAAGCTAGTAAGTGATAGAAATAGGGTTTGGACCCAGGCACTCTGGGCTCCAGAGTCCAAATTTTAAACCACCATGGTCTATAATTTCTGGAGAGGAGAAGGGCTCTCAACAGTTCCCCCCACATTTTACTTCCTGTGAGGCTTTCTCATTTTTTTTTCAATTGTTTTCTTTTTTTTTTTTTAATATGAAATTTATCATCAAGAGGTTTTCTCATTTTGATTCCCTGGCCCTTTCAGAGCTGAACCTCTGTAGATGTCCACTCCCACACCATAGCTGGTAGTGGACCCAGGACTCCTATTCTAACAGAGTCAGAGAAGGCAGAAACTGTCCAAAGCGGTCTCCCTGCTCAGCTAGAAGAGAGTTAGAGGTGAATAAAGACCGTAACACGTGTAGACTCTGAGCCGGCAGGAGCTAGGGTTCCCAGCTCCATGTGCTACTCTGTCCTCACCTCTATTGTGTGGGGACCCCCTCCTGGATGTTCACCTTTGAATTCTTAGGTTTTCTAACTCCCTCTGTGCCTTGTGGCCTTTAGCGGCAGGATCCCAACACAGACCCAGGACGACACTACATGAGATAGTGGCCCATAATTGGGTCGATATGTCACGTTTCTCCAGGGCTCCACTAGCTTAGACAGACGAAATGAAGGCACAGAGCCCGTGACACCCCCATTCTCCCACCTGCCTCCCAGGAGGGCTGTGCCAGGCAGTCCTCTGGGCTCTCTGTCCCTCTTCCCTGTCCTGTACCTTCCTCTGGGGACTGGGCTGAGCTGCCTGTCCTGATGGAACATTCACACCGAGTATTTGTGAGACGGAAATGCTCCTGCCCCAACCAGAAGGAATGGATAAGACTTGGGAGAAGCCACCCAGATAGATACTTGGGCCTGCAAGGGCTTCCCATTGGTGATCAGATGTTACCGCACATTAGGGACCTGTGTATGATTTCGGTACTCCTGCAGGAAGTGGTCATGATCTCTGTCTCTATTCAGATTGGACTCACCCTTTAAAGTAAAATCTACTCGTCTTCTCTCAGATGATGGAC